TGTGATAGTGCTAAGCAGCCTCCTGTCTCCCACATGTCCATGGGGATGCAGGTGTCCCTCTGCTGAGGCCAGACCTCCGAGGCACCCAGAAAACAGTCCAGAGGGAATGAGGTCTGGCCCATGCAAACTCCTGGACATGTCCCAGGACCTGCTGGCCATGTATTGGTTGGTCCTGGCCAATGTATGCCAAGGAGCTTGCTAATGAATTAGCACTGAGAGCCAGCCCATTCCTGGCCCAGCAACGTCCCCTGGCACTCTTCAATTTACGGGTACGGACGCAGCATTGATGCATGGGGAGGGACAGGGCTTCCTGCACCCCCCAGCACTGCCACAGGGCTGCTGCTGTGCTTACTGCAGAGCAGAAAGCAGCCAGAGGGGCTCAGCAGGGAGGCACAGCAGCCTTAGCTGGCGGATCTGCAAAGATTTTGCTGTGATTTAGGAGTTTAAGACCTGATGGGACTTGTCAAGGCAAGGCTTTGTCCCTTTGTTTTCACAGGAAGTTTCTGATTCCCAGCCATCGCTTATTGCTGTTGCAACGGAGGAAAGTGAGTCATGGAGTTTCCTATTGGCCTGAGGAGATACGCAGAGAAATTACTTGCAAGGGACTCTGCCCAGACAGCCGAGCGCCTGGCAGCAAGGGAGAAATCGGGCAAAGAGCTCTCAGATTCATTAGCATGGCTGCAAATTAATTGCCTGAGCCAGTAATGGATATAAACATGTTTCCCTTGTGGGCAATCATTCTAGGAGGGAGCAGTGCTGCTTTGTCAAGGGCCGGGATTAGACAGGGTGATATGCATTTTATAGCTTTAACATCCATAATTTACTATGCGGACAAAGCAGGGGAGAAAAACGGATACGCACGGAGCAAAGATGGATGTGCCTGTTTCCTCTCGCTTACCCCTCGGTCTGCTCTCTGGAAATCACTGCAAATTCACTGGGAGGTTCACAGGCTTACCTTTATTTTGCTAACAGAGCTGTGCTAAGTGCGGTCCCTGCTGCACAGGAACCTGTTCCCAGTCACAGGCTGCAGGGAACAGCAGCCAGCGTGTCCCAGGCAGGGCCACCACGGGGGCTGCTGTGGCAGGTGTCCTGGGGCAGGAGATGCATCTCTGCCCTCGCTTCTTGGCCAGAGAAGCCCTTCCTAGAGGTGATACTGAGGGTAGAGGTGCATCCTGCAGCACAGAAGGAGCATTTTCATTTTCCAGAGGGGTATCTTCATCCTGCCGAGAGGACGTACTGCAATGGCCGACCACTTGGGTCTGGTGGTGTTTTGACTTCCCAAGCAGCCCTCTCTGCTCTTGTCAGCATCCTTTCACTGCTTCTTCTTTAAACAAAAATACCTTTATGCTTTTAAGCTCAAGAAATGAAGGAGGAAAACAAGTCACTGCCACGTAAGGGAAAACAGCCCCTCCCGACGCATAAAAGATTTCCAAAAAGCTAATGATGGGCTGGGTGGGCCTGTGTTCAACTCCACAGGGAAGATAGTACATTTTGTGCTAACAAAACTAGGAGGCAGTAAAAATTGTGCAGCCTGGTTAGAGACAGGGACTCGAGAGGAAAGGAAGTGTTGCCTCTGACTGCAAGTTGCTCATAGACATGTGCCATTTCTAATGTCTCTTGTGAGCTGGCTGGGGTTCCTCCTTGTGCAGCGGCATGTGAACCAGAGGGAATGTTGCTCCATAGGTTTAATTTTAGTGTGTGCAGCAGGCTCTGAGATCATGCATGAAAAAGTGGATCAGCATTAAGGGGTAGGCAACAAGTGTGGACCTGAGCAGCTCTGCTCTTGTAGGAGAGGTGGGGACGTCAGCACATGAATGTGGCATCGACTTTCAAGCAGGTCAGGGGGTCTCTGCTCCTACTCTCCTGCCATCCCTGTGTCTGAGAGATTGCCCCTTTCTGGGGGAAATCACCCATCTCTCATCCAGATATTCTGGGAGAAGCTCACTCTTCAAACCTGCAACATGCCTGCAACGTGCCATGGGGTTTGGCCTTTGCTCCTGTCTCCCTTTAAAGCTTTGCTCCAGTTGAAAGAACTGAAGAAAATGTTTCTTATTACAGACTCAGTTGCTCATACTCTTCAGTCACGCAACCCCTTGCCTACGTGATTGTTGTGAACACTCAGATCCAGCCCTGCTTTCTGCTTGGGCTTCTCCCGTGGAAGGCGAGGGCTCTTTACTGCACGCAGTTCTCAGATGCCAACGTGAGAAATACCTCCCTATCAATAAACATGTTTCCAAAACTCCTCACCCAGGAATCCTTCACATCCCTAATTGCCCTGATGCCGTGAGATGGCTTAGGAGTGTATAAAAATACACCCACAGGCATGTACACATGTACAGATGACCACAGTGTGGGTTACAAAAGGTTTGGGACTTTGCTTAGTTTTGCTTCATGTCATTTAATGTGCTGCTACAGTGAGAAGGGACATTTGATTTTCTTTCTTAATCAAAGGAGAATACAAAGAAAGTGCATTTTTAAGAGAGTTGAAGTGTATATGTATTCCTCTCCCATCAATGCTTTATAAAAGTTTGTACTGCTGAGTGTTGATACCAATCTTCTGGTAAAGATACGAACTTTTATTAAAAATGAACCATAGGAAATAAAACCATACAGCTAAATTGTCTCTGTCAAATAAATAGTGGTCAAGACTCAGTTCTTACACTGATACACGCTTCCTTGTCCATCATCAGCAGTCTATCTTTAGTAAGGATTTTTTGCATGAAGTCCTGCCCTATTGAAGTCTTTGAATTCACTGAGGTCAAAATTTTACCTACTGATTTTTGGGTTGTCTCTAGGTGAGCAAAGGAGTATGAGGTAGATTTTGCTCTGGATGCAGCTTCCCCTGATGCAGCTGCAAAAGACTTCACTCCAACGGGACCTGGATCCCATCCAGTGCGTAAGCCTGACCCAAAGCCTACACATCTCTTTAGAAACCTTCACGCTGACTCTGTGATGACCATAAAAACCTCATGATTTGCAACTGTTGATAACACACCCAAAAAACCAGAGATCTAATTTGATGTCTGTGTCAATTCATTTTCAAATGTAGTTTGTTGATGAATGCTGTCGGAGGGCAGGACAGGGGCTCTCACCAGCATGGTTTCCCCACACTGTAGGTACCGGGGTACCGGTGGGTGCTGGCGGGTTTGATCTTGGGGTGCTTTTCAGTGCAGTGAGTGACACATTTTGGCTTCCTGAACCCCCTAGATGGAGGTGAGCCCCCACCACCCGGGTCTGCGAGCCCTGGCCATGGCAGGGATGCACTGAGCCAAAGGGCGTAACGTCATCATGGGAGGAGAGAGGAGTTTGTTATTTTTGGAGGATGAACCCCACTGGAGTTCAAGACAAGAACAAAAGTACCCAAGAAATATTTCTGAGGTCTGGGTCTGCTATGCCGCACTTCAGAGAGAGGAGTTTGTTATTTTTGGAGGATGAACCCCAGCTGGAGTTCAGACAAGAACAAAAGTACCCAAGAAATATTTCTGAGGTCTGGGTCTGCTATGCCGCACTTCATTTGTGAGGTTTTGGTACAACAAGACCTTCTCTTGCTTCATCATAACAGAGTGCTAAGCCACATCCACGTCCTGCCATGGGAAATGCTCCAGCAAAGGGTGTAAGCATGGGCTCAGACCCACCACCATGGATGGGCTGATGCTCACGCGCCGAGCCTGAGGTTCCCACTGCTGCCTCTCCAGCACTCTGCATAAGCTGGGCCCTTTGCAGGACATGGCTGTGGTCTGGTCCATCCCTCCAGGTATCAGACACAGCTGGCTGAAGTGACCCCATTTGCTGAGCAGCTACGGGTATACGGCCCGGGGTGCACAGAGCCTAACGGGGACACAGCTGGGTGCATGGGACATGACAAACTTGAGTACTGCCAAGAATTTAATCCTGGTCCCACACCGCGTTTTCTGAGTGTACTTACTCCCAGACTTTCCAACCCAGAGCCACTTCGTGCCCAGTCTCCTTCTGTATTAGAGAACTTACAAAATCATTGAGACAGAGACTGCGCCTTTGGGTTTTAAGGCACCAAACGAGATTTAGATAACGTTTGGAGGCTAATTTAGAGGGTGGAGGCCCTTTTGCAATTTTCACCAGGACCATCGAAGATTATACCCGTCCTAGGGAGTTATCTGCACCCTTGAAGTCAGAACATATCTAGAACTAAGGTGGGAGAAGTCACTGGAAATAGTCTGTGACAATCTGTGCTGCCTCTACCTCCTTCATAATTATGCAGCTGATGAGCAAAATGCTTTCATGAAGCTGACATATTAGGAAAAAAAACAACAAGCAAAATGCAAGACCTGCCTCCCCAAACCTCTGGAAGATTTCCTTTATGGATTCCCGCAAAATCCAAGGGTGAAGTTTTATAAAACTGACGGAGAAATCAGTGCTGATTCCTCACATCTTAGAGATCAGGCTCCCTGAGGGGGTCTCAAGCCAAGCAGCCAACCAGTGAAATGTCCCCAAACCATTACACACAATTGGAAATGCTTAGAAGATTCTTCATAATACTGTGGAGGAGGAAGGAAAAGAAGAAAGAAGTGGAAATAGCTGACAGAAATGAAATAGAAATAGAACAATCCTTTGCTTTCTGTGTTTGGAGGGCAAGACCAGACAGGCCAGAAGTGAGCAAGCTTGCTGATGACAGAGAGGGGGAAACAGGAGAGGTACATTGTATTTATATAGGTGCCAATCAATTTGGACAGACATTCAGCAGCCCTGACACTGAGACAAATCAAAGCCTGCAGAGGAACTTATTTTCTTTTTAATCACTGAATAACCAGAATAAAAGCCAATATGGTCTGGAAATAATTGGAAAGATAGTATTTCCTAGTCCTGTAGGGAATCTGAGCTGGGATACTCTGTACTCTGTGCCAGTTGCTGTCAGCAGCATCTATTCTGAGAAGACCCCAAGTACCAGGTTACAGCAACCCGGGCTGGGAGCGCATGGGCTCAAAGAGCAGCTGTGCCTACTTGTCCAAATCAGCCTCTTACAGGCATCCTCGCTCTCTTCCTTAGGCTGCAGGTGAAAAAGGAGAAACCTAAGTTTCTGCCAGAAAGCAGAACAACTTCAACTTGCGGAATTGAGGTATGGACTTTTTCCTGCACTGCTGTTCGTTGCATTGGCTTTGTTTTGAAGTGTTTGACATATTTCTCTGTGTAAAGGTTTAGGGAAGAAATACTCTTCCTATGCAGCAGGTGGGAGGGTAACAGAGGACAGTGGAGGAGAGCATCCCCTGGCTCATGGGGACAGCAGAGTCCTGCAGAGTCCCTGGGCCTCGGGAGGCTGCATGAGGCTCCCTGACTTGCCCTGCTTCCCATTCCTCTTTGGAAGGGCTCCAGCTGTCATAGAATCATAGAATCATAGAATCATTGAGGTTGGAAAAGACCTCTAAGATTATCAAGTCCAACCGTCGACCCAACACCACCATGCCCACTAAACCATGTCCCTAAGTGCCTCATCTACACGTCTTTTAAATACCTCCAGGGATGG